AGCTGCCACCACTTGAATATCGATCTGAAAGCTACTGCTCAAAGGCAAACAAGGAGGACCCTCAACCCTAAAAAATATGAAGCAATTGACAATGGCTTCATTAGGGAATCCTTGTATCCAAAATGGGATTCCAACTCGGTTCTGGTAAAAAAAGCACAACGGGAAGTGGATGGTGTGTATCGATTTCTCGAATTTAAACCAAGCCTGCCCAAAGGATAGCTTTCTACTCCCAAGGATAGACCAGCTTGTAGACTCGGCTGTTGGACATGAGCTTCTCAGCTTCATGGACGCTTACTCTAGGTACAATCAAATCCCCATGTTCCCAACGGATGAAGACCACACCTCCTTCATAACGGATAAGGGGCTCTTTGATACAAGGCTATGCCTTTCGGCTTGAAGAATGATGGAGCAACTTACCAGAGGCTGGTTAACAAATGTTTGCCGACCTCATCGGTAAATCCATGGAAGTATATGTGGACGACATGCTGGTGAAAATCCAGAAATCAACATACCACATTTTCCACCCGGATAAGGTTTTTCAGATCCTGTGAAAGTACCGAATGAAGCTCAATCCTTTAAAATGCTCTTTTGGGGTATCATCAGGCAAGTTCCTTGGATACATTGTTAATCAAAGAGGCATCGAAGCGAACCCTAAAAAGGTTAGAGTTTTGATTGAGATGAAGTCACCCCAAAAGCCAAAGGAAGTTCAAAGCCTCACTGGAAGGGCAGCAGCCCTAAATCGCTTTATATCTAAAGCGACAGACAAATGCCTCCCATTCTTCAAAGTTCTCAAGGGAGGAAATAAATTTCAATGGACGGAAGAGTGTGAGGTGGTTCTGTAGGAATTGAAGAAGCACCTAGGGCAAGTACCTCTTTTTTCCAAACCGATAGACCATGAAGTATTGCACTTGTATTTGGTAGTAACCCCCAAGACAGTAAGCTCAGTTCTGATAAGGGAGGAAAACAACCATTAGCTACTAGTTTACTGTGTCAGCAAAGCGTTCATCGCCGCTGAGACATGATATCCTGACATGGAAAAGCTGGCCTTCTCCCTAATAATAGCCTCGA